AGCCGGAGAGGCAGAAGTTTGCGCCGTACTAAAGGAGGCGGAGCTAGCGAGGTAGCTTCCGGAAGGTCTTTTCCTTTGTTTTGATGGACGGGCGCGTTTATTGCCCTTCGGTTCCCCTCTTCCCTTCCTACTCTCTCACTTCTCTCCCCTCGGCCGCCGCGTCGGCTTTTCCTCCTCGACTTAACGCCGTCAAAGTGGGCGGATCGGAACCAGATTGAAGGCGTGGCTCGATGGCAGGCGGGGTCTGAGGCGTGACCGCGGCGGGTCGCTCGGGGTCAGAACCTCGTCCGGGCTCGTCGCCTTAAGAGAACGAAGAGACTGTGGCAACCCGCTCAGAGGCCGCCGCTAGGAGCGGCCGTTGTTACAGACGGCGTCCGTCCGGCTCCGCCCAAACGTCCCGCCTCATTGAACCTCCACAGTCGGCTCGCTAGTCATTTGTGGGCCGGTTTTCTGACTCCGCTGAGATGCTAATTGGACGGTAGCGCGTCCCCTTGTAATGAACCCGTCCGGTCGTCCAATAATCCCACTTTGATGGCTTTTGGTCCCTCGTAGCTCCGCCCCTTACGGGCGAGCCCATGTTTAGGGGTCATTTGGGCCACAAAGCCTGTGAAAGCCATACAGACTATTTAGCTTCTGCCTCCTTTCCCATCTCCTGCTCCCCTTTACTCTGTTGTATACTCTCGTATTTATTGACTCATATGAAGTATTTACATCACTGGTCACTAACACTGAGCTTCTCCTTCTACATGACGACCTTCTGCTTCCTGTCGGATCTTTTCTTTGATGGTTTTTTAAAACATACAACAGATTTAAGTCTGTTGCTGTTTTCTTCTCATTTGAAATGTGTTGTTTAAATTATTTTTTAACTTATTCAGAGAAGTTTTACGTTTAGAGTTTTAGAAAACAAAAGATCCTTTTCCCAACGTGGCTGCAAGGTAAATACCTTCTTTTTTATAGTTGTTCACGGAACATTTATGCTGATAACCAGATGTTTTGTTGGATAGAAGAGTAGTGTTTTCACTTGTGAGCTCACACACACACACACACACACACACACACACACGTCTTGACGCTGCCTGTCGACTGAACATCCACAGAACTAGAATGAAGTAGAACCACCACGTCACATTAAGGGCTGGACACGGAATAAGACTGCAGGGGATTTTCATCCAAATTAAAGGTGCAACACTTTTATTTACATGTGATGTGTAAAGAGAAGCAGCACCAACATGTCAGCTTCCTGTCAATCGATCAATACTTGTGATCGATCAGGTGGGCTGTGGAACCACAGTGTGACACCAGGCAGCCTGTAGACGTAAAGACAATCCGCCACTCAGGGTGACATCAAATAAGTGATGAGAACGCAGAAACCTTTACACTTGATTTGTTATTAGTTCATTTTGAGACTTTATAAAAAAAATATGCTAATTTGTTGCAGCATTTTTACAAAATTGTTGAGTGTTGATAAAATAGATTTTCATGTTGACAAAATTCTTTCCATCTGCTGAATTTATTTAACTGAATCTTCATAATTCATCAAATATCCATATTGTCCATCGGTCGCAAAGTGGAGAACATTGAGGTACTTGAATATTTCCAATTCCAATATTTTTATGCTTTATGTTGTACTTATGCTGTACCCCCCCCCCCCCACTCACAGTACATTTTACTGACAGTACTTTGTTTTGCATGCGTGTGATTGTTGCACATTAGTGCGCCTCTTCTCTCTGCAGATGGACACCAGGTCAAAGTTCACGTTGTTCTACTTCTTCCAGTTCTGTGCCGAAGGTGGAGCAGCTTTTATTCGGAAGTCCAATCTTTTATTTTTTCATTCCAGCTGGAGTAATGCTGCATGTTTGCTTGGCCTCACTAACACAAACACACACACGTAGGCCTGAAAACACACAATTGCCGATTCAATTAGTTTGACGCACACAGACACACACAGACTCCTCTTCACTGACAGCGTGAAGTAAAAGCAATACTACACTCGTTGGCAGACAAATATGCACAAGTGTGTACTTTCACCTGTAACAACTACATTTGTATTTTGTTTACACGATGATGACGCCGATGACGTGTTGTATTAAACAAGCTCACTTATTTTTATAAGGTCCGATAAGCTCGTTGATGAACTGTGGACGGCGTGTTTTAATCTCACTTCTCCGTCCTTTCCACTCGTCTTCTCCCATTTCTCTTTCCGTCTTTTGTCTTTCGTCCATCTGCATGTGTCCAACTTGAATTAATGTCTATGCAACAACAAATAAAACAACCTATGAAAGAAGCGTCCGTGGTGCAGTTTGTCAGGTGGGTCCGGGTGCGATGGGGGCCGTGGGGGCCGTGGGGGGCCGTGGGGGCCGTGGGGGGCCGTGGGGGGCCGATGGGGGCCGTGGGGGGCCGGCGGTCCGGTCTGGATGCTTCCTGCTCACATCACTTACCGACGTCCAACATCGCTGTCCCTCAGCAGGAAGCAGCAAGCTCACGATCAGTTATCAATTATCTAATTGATCAGCTACGCTTCGTCACATCCAGCACATTCATTTGCATGAATACAAAGCAGACATCGGTTTAAAGGTACAGAGTTTTGTTGGTAGAATAATTAGAAATTGGTTTTATCTGAAATCAAACTACAAAATCTTACAGTGAATTTGAGCCATAAACTAAAGTGAACAGCGTTCAACATTTAAACACACAACTACAAATACACAAGTAGCTTCAGCAGCAGACGGACAAACATGAAAACAAAAGGAGCCATCTTCCCCTCTGTTTCTTCTTTGCATCGCGCCATGTTCTAATAAATAAAGACCACACGGACTGTGTGCGCATGTGTGTGTGTGTGTGTGTGTGTGTGTCTTTTTTCAGTCAGAACATCTTGCAAATCCGTGTGTGTTTAAAAGTGATGACGTAAGTATGAACGATGAAGAACGAGGATGTGACTCTGCATGACGGCAGGAAGGGAAGAACTTCTTCTGTATGAGGTCCCAAGGACACACACACACACACACACACACACACACATGAACTGTCACTTGTGCTCCAGCGCCACCATGAGGCTGATTCAAGTATCGGGTGCAATGACGCTTAAGATTTGCTCCCCAAATGCAGCCAGAAAACTTTGATCTATTTTTCCATCCGCTCGTCTTGTGTCTCATTTTCTGCAGAAGAAAAGGAAACAGACTCCAAACAAAGTAAAAAATGTCACTTGGTCTTTTATTTTGCTTTACGATCCATTTCCTGAAGGAATAATGAGAAGCTCATTAGCGTTGGTTAATGATGACGGCTAAATGACAGCTGGCCTTTCAGAATAAAAGGTTTGTTACACACAAGGTGCAGTAGATGTTCAAACAGCTGTTCTGGGCTCACATTGAACAGTTACTGGGGGGAGGACATGAGGACATGAGGACATGAGCAGGAGTGGAGCTGAATGGAGGACGTATGGATTCATTCTGATCAACTAATTGACGGATAATTAATGTGTCATTATGATGAAATATCCTCCTAAAGACAACTTTAAATACAACGTTTTTATAGTGACAGAGACTGAAGAGGACGAGGAGATTTTGTCAGCAGGATGTGAGCTCAACTTCCTAAACGTCTCATAGAGCCCAGAAGCCCCACGTGGGGGCACCAACGTCCTACAGGCTAAAAAGACGATGACTTTTATTTATTTTTAACTGGCAGCAAGCATTAAACTGACTTTAATTTGATATTTTCAAGAAAGAAAATGTTCAAAGGGTGAACATATTTAACTGCTACTTTTTTTGAAGAGATTCTACTTTTGATTTAGATTTTTTTTTACCTTTACTTTTTAAAGTATATTTGGGTTTTTTCAATATATTTATATATATCTTCAAAATATTTCATTTATAACATTTTGTGAATATATGACTTCTGAAATATTTGACTTTCAACATATTCTGCCCTCAATAGACGGCGAACCCCGTCGGGCCAATAAAGGCTTTGACGTCACAGGAAACCGTTTAGTTTCCTTTGGCTGCGCCGCCCCCTGGTGGGCAGGTAGGAGCATGACGTCAGACTTTATTAATAGGAAATACAAGCGATTATATTTCAGAATGACGACATCATCTTGGATATTCAGGAGGACACAAACTTCTGATTTTAGTTTTTGGGGGGAGTTACAACTTTAATTTAGGCAATTGAGACATTTTGTTCTCTGAATATTAGCTTTGAAGTTAGTTTTTACACTTTATTTGTATTTTATCTTATTTTATAATCTTATCAGATTATTTTCTATCGAATGTGATTTTAAAATTCTTGGATAAAAGGAAAATGAAAAAATCTTCACATGTAGCTGAAAACATGAAACACATTTTACGTAACAAATCACCAAAGCAAACAAATACAGGTCTATTATTTAATGTTCTGTGTATCCATTTATGCTGAGTTGGATTTAACCGCCAGTATCAGGAGATTCTATTATGTTCATTATCTCGTAATGTACAACATTAAACTGCTAATATACAACACAGCTGTGAACTTGACCGACTTACTTGAATGCAGGAATCGAGTACTTCAACGCCTTTAACTGGTGTAATATCTAGAATTACATCATACTAAAGCAATGACCACAACTACAACACTGATTTGTGTACTTATACTTGAACCTCATGGACAGAAAAATACACGCTTCTATCCTGTTGTAACTTGGGGGGGTCAATCCCAGCCAACATCAGGAGACGTGGTCCACAGGCCTGACGTAGAAGCACCTTCCGTGTAGCCACCTCCACCTCCACTCAAAGCTCTTTACCAGGGTCATTTACTCCATCACATTTATTATGTAAACAAAAATATTTAGAATGAATAACCAATAAAGAGAAATGTATATCTGCAATAATAACAGTTGCAACCAGTAAAAGCATTTAAAAAAACATTTAACTTCAGTCCAATTCTTCTTTATTTTTCTCATCACTGAAAAGTTTTGTTCTGGTCCAGTTGGATTAAAAAGAAAAAAAACTAAAGAACCAACAGAACCAATCTGGCTTTTGTAAAAAACTAAAACAAATGTAGTAAACATCACATCATCTTCCACACTAAACATTCTCATTTAGTTCAAGAAGCACGGAGCTTTTCCAGCTGTTTATTCTAAGCGTTCATTCTCATCCAGATGGGAGTGTCGTTGTAATTAAAGTATGAACCAAAAGTTAAAACCTCCCTTTCTCTCTGAGAGACGTTTGGGGGAATGAGGGAGGCCAGTCGGAACATCTGTAGAGGTCATCAAGGGGCTCCTCAGGTTTAAAAGGGACCGTGTGAGGTTCTCAGGACCGGAGGAGACGACTCGTCAGACACCAGACTCCATCCACAAAAACAGCCATTTAACCGAAAAGACAACTCGTTTTAGACAAATAAAAAAAAATGACAAGTGAACTCTGTATTTGGAATATTTTCATCCACTTTAAAACCACGAGATCTTTAACTAGAACATTTAGCAGCGAATCTGAAGCCTTTAAACAGAATCACAGTAGGACTTAGAAACCGAGGGAGGCGCCAACATCAGCGTCTGTTCTGTCAAAATAATGTTTTAGTGGATGGAGTCACACACACACACACACACACACACACACACACACACACACACACACACACACACACACCTTTCAGATAGAAACATCTGGAATGGTTCATTTGATGGAAAATAAAAACACAGCTGGCTCTGTGATGTACAGTCGTGGGGAATTTCACCTTTTCAGTCTTTAGGTTTCTTTTTTGCCTCCAGAGCACAGTTCATAGTACAATCACGGTGTATAAAAACCTCAATGTGTGTGTGTGTGTGTCATAGATACACACACACACACACACACATCAATATAAATCAGATACACAGAACGGAAACATAAAGTCAACAAGCATTTAAAAGGTTTAGTGTTGTACGAGTATAAAAGCGTTAACATCCTTTAAGTGTCTTTTAAAACGAGTCCGGATACAAAGTAACAAAATGTAGACGTAGTGTCGTGTTTCTGAATAAAAGCACCAGCCATGCTTCTAAAACCCAAAGCCTCAGTTAGTATCATTGACGATGACGATGACCATGTGCTCCTCGTCCAGATTACCCACAATCCTCTTGGCGGCCTGCAGGTACTGCTGCGAGAAGGCCCCGGGGGGGAAGGCGTACAGCATGGCGCCGGGCCCGCCTTCCTTGGCGCCCGGCAGGCTGACCACGCCGGCAGCCTCCTTGTTGCGCAGGTAGGTCACCAGGTGGCGGAGCAGGCGGGCCTGCAGGCCCGGCTCCGCGGGGGGGGCGGCCCCCTGCCGGTCGACGGGCCCCTGCAGGGCGAGCAGCACGGCGTAGCCGTCGGGTCGGCCCAGCTTGACGCGGCGCGACACCTCGTCGAGCCGCGTCTGGTCCATACGGAGCCGCTGGGCGATCTTCAGCCGGTTCTGACCCGGCGGCTTCAGAGTGTCGCGCATCACGGCGCCGAAGAAGGCGGGGCCGCCCTCCAGCAGGTACAGCGTGGTGGGGAAGCTGCTGTTCTTCAGGGCGAAGAAGCCGTGCCACGACTTGACCAGGGAGGCCTGGGCGAACTCTGAGAGCGTGCTGGGGGGGGAGGAGCCTGCGTCCGCGTGGGCGGCGGGGGTGGTGGCGGCGGCGGCGGCGGGGGAAGACGCGGCGTTGTCGCTGTTTCTGTGGTGATGGTTGTTGAGGTGCTCGCTAGACCTTTTGCTGTGGTGGCGGCCGGGCAGCGGGTCTTCTTCGTTGGTGGCGGCGGCGGCGGCGGTGCGTCGCCCCGCCCCCTCCGTTCTCGGGCGAGTGGTCCCTGGGCTCGGTGGTGGAATCGGGGGCGCGGACCCTCGCCCGGTCCGGGCTGGCCTCGGGTGTGACGGCGCCTGCCTGCGCTCGAACCCTCGACCTCCCCCGCTCCTTCCCCCTCTCTCTCTCCCTCTCCTCCGTCAGCCGGTCGGTGGAGGCGCTCCTGCTCCTCTTCCGGCTCCGCCTCTCCTCGCGCTCCTTCAGCCAGCGCTTCCCGGCTACGGCTGCGGCTCCGCGCCGCCCGCCCGCTCCGCCCAAAGGCCTCCACGGCCCCGGCCCTCCTCTCCAGGCTGCGGGTGGGGCTGGCGGTGTACTCCCTCTCCAGCAGCGCCCGCTCCCTCTCCCGCGGGATGATGAGAGCGTGGGGGGCCAAGGGCGGCGGGGGGGTGGAGCGGTCCCTGGCGCCCCGCAGCTCTCGCTCCAGGCTGCGGTGGCGGCTGTAGGCCTCTCCGATGAGGTCGTAGTGGGAGGGGGCCACCACGGGGGGCTGGTAGCCGGTGGGGAACACCCGAGAGGGGCTCTCCTCCACTTTGGCAAAGTCCACCCTCAGGCGCCGTTCGGGGCCCCCCAGGGGGAACCCCCTCATCTGCGTGCAGGCGGCCTGGGAGGCGTCTAGGCTCTCGTACTGAATGTAAGCGAAACTGTCCCCCTTCACGTAGTCGATGTTCCTGATGCTCCCGAAGCGGTCGAACTCCCGGGCCAGGGCGGCGAGGGAGTTCCCGGGCCCGAGGCCGCCGACCCAGAGCCGCGTGGTGGGGTTGGCCTTCCCGTAGCCGATCTTTATCGGGTTGCCCCCCATCAGCCGGCCCTGCATGGCCACTTTGGCCCGGTGGGCCATGTCCAGGTTCTGAAACTTGACGAAGGCGTACGCGCCCCCCTGACCCCGGGCCGGCCGTTTGATCACCACGTCCTCGATGACGCCGTACTTGTCGAAGCCCCTCCTCAGCTCGGCCTCGGCCACGTTGCCGTCCAGGTTGCCGATGAAGAGGTTGCTGGTGGCCCGCTGGTCGTCCTCGGGCTTCAGGTCCTCCACTACCGGCATGGGGGGGAACCCGTAGGGCCGCCCCCGCTCGTCCAGCATCCCGTAGTAGTCCAGAATCCGCTCCCTCTCCCTGCTGAGCCCCAGCGTCTCCAGAGCGTAGTGGCGCGCCCGGATGTCCCGGAGGCCGCCCGTCCCCGCGGGGGGGGAGAGCGAGCGCTGCCGGTACGGGTACGCCGCGTGCAGCGGCGCGTGCAGCGGCAGGTAGCCGGCGTCCGGCGGCGTCACGCTGCGCCTCCGCACGTACATGGGCTCGATCTTCAGCTGCCGGTCGCCCAGCACCAGGCGGGAGGACTTGGCGTGCCGCGCCTCCTTGGCGTCCTCCGGGTGCCGGAAGTTGACGTAGGCGATGCGGCCCAGCTCCGGCGTGTGCGACAGCTTCACGCTGACGTCACCGAACTTCTTGAACTCGTGGAACAGCGCGTCCTCCACGTCCTCGTCGGACACCTGCGAGCCCAGGTTGCTGATGAGCAGCGTCTTGTACTCCAGCGTGCCGGGCCTGGCGGCGGGCGGCGGCTGCTGCTCCGCGGAGGAGGAGGAGGAGGTGGTGGAGGCGGTGGTGCGCAGCGGCGGACGCCCGAGGAGGCTGAGCTCGTGCCGGTGGTGGAGCTCCAGCGCGGCGGCGCGCTCCTCCCGCAGCCGCGGCTTGTCGCGCTCCCGGCTCCGGCTCCTGCGGTGGTAGCCGCGGCTCTCCGCCAGCAGCAGAGCCAGCGGCGGCGGGGGCGGCGGCGGAGGAGGCGGCAGCTCCTCCCTCCGGGAGCTCTCCCGGTCCCGCGTCCGTTTGGCGGCAGCCCTGGGCGGACTCGTCTCCCTCCCGGCCTGCCTCTTCATCTTCACGGGATGATGGAGCTTAAACTTTTCGGCGCCCGCGACGGGAATGCGACCTCGGCGACGTGTTGCGGGAGCTTTAGCGACACCGACGAGGCAGCTGAGGGCTCCGGTAAAGAAACGCTACCGGGCCGACCGTTGGGTGTTTGCATATACGTCGGAATAAAAGCATAAACTCGGTTAGAAACATGTCAGCCTCGGAGGGTCTGCAGCTACGCCGCCATCTTGGACAATAGGAATGTGCGCTTTCTCCGAGGAGGGCGGAGACCGCGATGACGCGTCTTCGGCCGACGTGATGACGTAGCGCGCTGCATTTCTACGACACAGAAACAGTATTAGTACAGAAATTGTGTTACTATATACACTTACTGACGCGAGCTGGGATAAAACTTCATTAAATTAAATGTGATTGACAGAAGTTTAAAATGGCCATAATACAAAGGAGAAATAATTAGTTTTTTTTAGAAAATAAGACTTGGAAGGAAGTCGCTTTTAAATGTAATCATGGGATCACAGAATTGTTTTTAAGCAATACATACGATAAAGAAAGCCGTCGGGATTTTGATTATCTGGAGGATCCTCTATGATATCGTACATACATTTCTAACATTAAGTAAAAGATTTTATGGTAAACGTTTGCTCCTGACACAAACTCAGTTCATGACGGGTTACAAAAACCTTACGTATCACAATACAAAAGCTCCTTGGTTCAAGTAAAAGTATTACATTCAAAGAAGTGTCACAATTACAATGACACCGGAGTGTTAACACATTCAAGTGAAAGTATGTTTACTTTAAGTACTTTACAGGAGTTTTTCCATTCATGCCTCATCTCAGAGGCGATTATTGTATCAATATCCTGCATGTGGAATAAGAAACACATTGTTGCAAAAGTCTATTCATATTTATTTGAAAACCTTGAATATTTCCGTACAGAAAGTTCTTCTAGGCAACATGTCATCAATGAAGACTCAATAGATCCACACGGGCCTTTTTACATTTTTTATTGAAAAAGTAGAATCGTACAGTTGTAACAAATGACGTGAAGAAAAGGTCATTGTGAAACAAATGGCATATTTTCAGTTCAAGTCGAGACAAACCATTGCGTGTTTCTTTTGAGTACATCACACAATCAAATATACATCCTCGCTTCTGAAACACACAAGTGTGTGTCTGTGCGTGTGATGACAACACGTGGAAGGAAATATATATCTAGTTATTTTCCTGCACGTTCAGGAACCACCGAGATTCAACCACTTTAAATGTACGTTAAAGACCCAGATTTCTCTTTACTGTAAATTCTAAACAATCCTAGGATCTGATTCCCGATTGGACGACACTGCGTGTGATCGACAGGCGGATACAAACACTTTACCATCCGACAATCAGATCAACCCCCCTCCCCCGAAAAAACAGTCACCTATTAGAAGCAATAAATCCTCAAAAAAAACAGCGTGTGTGTGTGTGTTTATTACACCAGCAAAAGTGTCTCAGGTCAAAGATAAATACTAGTGAGTGTTTTAAATGAATTAGAGCTGGTGTTCTCGTTACGCAGCGTGCGCCTTTATGATTCACTGCTTTTTGTACAAATGGCAACGTTGAGTATTCATCGTTTCCTCGACACACAATAAATGAACGAGGAACAGAAAACTAAAAGTTCATGTTTTTAAACATAATGGGATCATTTTTTACTCTTGAACTACAGAGTCAAACAAAAAGAGCTGAACTCATTCATTCTTTTTCTTCAAGTCTAGATTTATACAACACACACACATACACACACACAGTTATTATTGTGAAGACATTGTTGTGTCAACAGGACTCACATAATGTGTCCATATCATTTTAAGCATCAGCTCAACAACGTCCTCCTCGAGGGGGCGTCAGCAAAAAATAAAAATCAGGGTGAAATTGGGAGGTGAATAATCTTCCAGAAAGAGCTGCTCGGCGTTACGGGGGAGCAAAGGGGAGACTTGTGGAACAGGAAGCGGAGACTTTGACTTCCAGCTGCTCGCCGCTAACAAACTTGACACTTGACTTGAGAATATAGTGGAGGACCGATAGCTATACTTGTGAGGAAGGGAAGATTACCAGCGAGCACAGACTCCTCCTCTTCCTCAGCGGTCCGGTCCGAGTCCAAAGTCTTGCCTTGGCTCCGCGCTCACAGGTCTGTCCGTGCTTTGGCGGCCGCGGGGGCGTACTTGGGCATGAGCTCCGTGATCTTGCGGATGAAGTCGGACTTTTCGGCGCAGCCTTTGCAGGACTCGCCCCACTCCTCCAGGATCTTCTTCAGGTCCTTCACCTTCAGCTTCTTCAGGTCCACGGTGGTCAGGTCCAGCTGTTTGTCTGCACAGGGCACACAAAGGACAGAGTTACCAACATGTCCAAGTACTTTGTGTTTAGTGATGTGTCGCCCTCTGGATACAAAAAGGAAAACGCACATTGTTTCTGTCTGTCGCGTGTTTAATTGCCATAAATGAACAAATGTGATGCAAACATAATGATGCAGATTTTACATGCTTTGTTAGTTCTCTTAAGATGACGAGGAGCTAAACTTTTAAATGACTTGTTTTCTGAATGGAGTCTGGTTCGGTAGTGCTGAACGTCCTTGATATCGTGAGGAGCATCTCAGCGCTGATTGGCTTTAAAAGGACAACGAGCCAGAGTTGAAAACTACCCGCGAATGAGGCGAGTTCTGGTGAAGTACATTTCCATACATAGTAAAGCAGAGCTGTAGCGTTTGGTCCTCACCGTATTTCAGCTCACAGATCTGACTGTCCTTCTTCTTGAGCTTCTCACAGATCTTCTCCACGGGGACGTGGTGGCTGAGGGGCTTGGACACCTCGTTGATCATCTTGGTGGCGGCGTCGCTCGTCGCCCCGATGTAGTAACACTGGTCATGTGAGGGGGGGGGGGTTGCACCGTTAGCATGTGTTTAGTTTATTTATTAATGCAGAAGAGGAGATGAACAAAGTAGACGGAGAGAAAAGGAAACTGAAGAGAACAACGAATATATGCACGTGTGTTCATCTTAAGTGTGATCCGGTCAACAGTGAGTAGTAACATATTTATAGTAATTATTTTTAAAATATACTGAATATGAATTTTACCTGATGAACATGGAAGACTGACAGACTGGAAATAAAAAGGTCTTATGATGGACAGTTTAGATTCCTTCACAACTACAAACGACCCAAAAAAAGTTTTATCACGACTGAGCATGAAAATTTAAAACCTGCAGAATTGTCATTTGCTATCGAGGACGAGTATCAAACGCTAACCCATCCATCCATCCATCCATCTTCACACCGCTTATCCTGCACACAGGGGCTGGAGTCTATCCCAGCCAACTTCGGGCGATAACCCGAACCCAAAACAATATATTTAAAAGGCATAAAACCAATGTGTTGTCTACTTACGAAGCGGTTTTCTTTCCCTTTGGCATCTTTGCACAACTTTACGAGGGCCTGCTCGATGTCGGCGCTGTTGAACTTTACGTTGTTTCCCTCCAGCGACTGGTAGAACTTCCCGAGGAAGGCCGCACACACTGAAACAAAGAGGAAGACACGTCACGGAGGCAGCTGTGGGGTGGGGGCTCTGAACACATCCACCTGAAGCATTCTGCGGATTGCTCAGGTGTCACAGAGCTTATGAAGCCATGCGATTAACTAGTGAATAAGTGAACTCTTAGAAATGATAGAAACAGGATCAAATGAGCAGATTTAAATAGCACAAAAACCGTAGTAGCCTATTAAAGATGCATCTATGTTGTTAACTTAGTGTCAGCTGTGTACTGAGGTTTCTGCGCGCGCGCGCACACACACACACACACACACACACACACACACACACACAGCTTTGTCTTCACACGAGACTTCCAGTGACATCTTTAAATAAAACGCTGCACGCGCCGTTCAGTTTAGCGGCTAGCCGGATAATGCTAAACGAAGCTAGCAGAGATAGCTTACCTTCACAATCCCCCTCTTTCAGTGCGTCACCGGAACCGGGAAACAGAGCGAGCGCGAGAGCCACCGAGAACCCGCCTATCGACAACATCTTCGGCTGTTCGTTTGTTTTTCAAACCGTTAATGACGGGAAACCCTCCGCTGTGTGTTCGCCGCTTTGATGGAGACGCCGGTAAACTGACGTGCGTGAAGACGGTTGTTCCGGTGCTGCGTCACGGTGTGTCGGCGCCCTATTGGTCGAGGGGCGTTTCTCTTTCCGAGCGCCGTCCACGCATTCTACACCGATTGGACGGAGGCAGAACGTTCCGGGAGCAGCGTCCAGTTGGCGCCGTCTGATTGGGCCACGACCTTCCACGTGCTCCCGTGCAGGCTTCTCACGTTCCACGTATAATGACGATTATATAAGAAGTTTGTTTATTATGGAAATAGTTGTTTTTATCTTCCATTAAAAGAAGGAAAAAATAAGAGAATAGTTTAAGACAAAATAGATCTATACATTCATCCATCAAGCTATTAATTATCTTTTTCTTTGCACTTATGAATGTAAAATGTATATAATCAATTAATTTAACCAATCTTTATCATGTTCAAAATGTATAATGACATTTTAAATTTGGAATGATTATTTTTGAACAAGATACAATAATAATTTAGCAGTTACAAAAATAACCTAATGAATACAATTTTTTTTAAAAAGGAAAACTTCCAAGTCTGGTTAATCATTACAAATAATATTTTCCATGTCTAAGAATGTGGAGAAATATATCTCGTAAAACAAGATATATATATATTGTTTATCTTCATTGAGCTTTGTGAACAGACATTCAGCACATCACTTAACAACAATTCATTAAGATACAACCTACTTTTTTGCATTAATATACAAATAGCTTTGATTGACTCGAACAATATTTAAGTTTAGAATATAATCAGCGTTTTTTGATTGTGTCTTTAGGGCTTAATTATTATTTAATGTATAATGTATTTGGCAAACAAATAACAATACACGTCTAACGTAGATCCTTCAAAAAGCAGAGAGTGACGTCGGTGGGTTTTTTATGGCCGATTACGTCACGAGGACTGCGCGATGTTGCAGAGTCACTGCGACTGTAAACAAGGCTGAGGAGAACAGAATAGTCGCCATTTAAGCTAACGTTTGGCCCCAACATCCGTGCGCTCGATCGCTGTCGGTGTTTTCGGTATTTAAATGAATTCGCGGCTCGTGTCGCGGTACCGAGCGGAACCAGAACGCTTTAAATAATACAATATACAGTTCCGTGTTTTCTCCGCAACGGAGGCGAGGTCGCACAGAGCCAGCGTTAGCCCCTTAGCCTGCTAGCTTTAGCCCGTTAGCTAGCTAGCTTTAGCCGTCAGTTGGCTAATCAACATCCAAACGGGCCGGGTTCCCCATCTCTCTCTTAACTGTGACCAGAATATCCCGAACCGTGAGTATCACCCTTTGTCTATTTTCTAAACGATGTAAATAAAAAAGCAAAATAAACGAACCGTCCCTGCTGCTAGCTAGCTTAGCAGCTCAAGTAATTTGCCAGCACTAGCCAACAGGGTGTGTGAGGGTGTGTTTATTAACTTAAATCCACTGTTCACAAGTAAACGTTGCCAATGCAGTGATATAAACACGGGTCATAAAGTCAAAGCACAAATAGCTTAACTAGTAACATTTGAATCCAGACCGTGTGTTTTGTGTTAGTCTCACCACAAGCCAGTCACGTGATGTGTCACCATACAGAACAATAACACAAGAGCTGATTGATATTTCGGTCTCAAATGAATGATCGATCCTGCTCAATGTGCATCACAGTTGTTTAAGCCTTTCTGTCAGTAGCTCGACTTTCATTGACTCTAACTGACGTTACGCGTTGTGTGTACGCTTGACATTTGAGCTGCACGATTTTAAAACCTACAAATAGCTTTTAAGATCCAGACTATGAGGATCCCTGCGTCTGACACTACTTACTGCTGTGTGTCTGCAGCTGGGTGGCTGGTCAGAGCGGCCTCCTCCCACCATGGAGGCAGGAGGGAAGGACTGCGAGGAGGACACGCTGCAGACGGCGTTTAAGAAGCTGAGGGTCGACGCCGAGAGGTAAGTAGCAGCGACCTTCACCTGAGCGAGCAGGCGGCGGGGCGCTGTATGCGTTTCGTTCTGGATCGAGATAATAAAAAAGTAGATCTTGGAGTATGTGTACGTCGCTTGGAGTGACTTGAGCGAGACGCGTAGCTCGCTGAGACGGGAGACGTGAGGAATGGATCCTGATTGTTATTTATGTTAGTTTGTTGTTACTTTAATCCATACAAACTCCATGTTCAGTTCAGTCTTAACAGACAGGAGATGTTTGCTGTTGTCGGCTGCTCCAAAAGTAACGGTAAACTTTGGTAAACTGTTCAAACGCGGCCATACTGAACGCTTCTTGCATATCGCTCTGTATTGTCTCACTTCGTGTGTGTGTTTGTCGGTTGGAGAAGTCGTGGAGTTTGAAGCGTTATATCGGGTTAGATAAGCCCAACGCAGCCGGGTATTGATGTTGGTGGACGTGTCGATGAAGTGCTTAAACTCGTCCCGTTTCTCTTTTCCCTCCAGTTTACCCGGAGCTGTGAGTGTGTCGGAGGCGTTGGCGCCGAGAGCGACGTCGCGCGCTTCTCTCGATGCCGGCGGAGCGAAACCCAAACTCTGCTGTCCGAAGGACAACTGGCACGGGTACGTGGAGCCGCAGCCGGAGACTGAGGAGGCAATCAAGTTTGATGAGATATCCAACTAAAAAAGGAAACTCACTGAGAACAGTATTTTAAATAGAAATGTCCCGTAGAGCAGAATATCGTTTTAATACACTTTAATATGCTTTTCTCATTTACATAAAACCTGCAGATTGACTGTCAAAAACCTTTTGGTTTGTTTAAGGTAAAAACATAGAAGATCCATTTTATTGTGCACGGTGGTGTAAGTGTGGTGGTCTCCTTTAGGACGCATAGAAAACACTCAATACTCGTGTTCTCGTCGTTTAAGTTTTGCATTTGGTCGTTTAATTTGAACATGATTAACAGAGTGGACAACGCAGGTCAAAAGACTGCCGATGTCCCGTCCAAACCAAAGCCAGCCCCCGTGCCTGAGCCCCCCCCTCTTTATCCGCTGATCCTCGTCCGGTGAATCTAATCAATCATAAAGGAAGTTATGTCAAATATGAACATAAAATACATTAAGTGAATACACAGAATTCCTACCAACAAAACAAATGAATGGTTTGTACCAAAACAGAAAATATGGCTCCAACACAGATGTAATATGATTCAAATATCATCCTCTCTGATTGTCACACAACGTCTAGAAATAATTAGTCACTGGTTTCTAAATGTTGTCTGTGAAGAAAAAAGGACAAAGAATAAAATAATAATAGATAATTGAATATCAGGTCAGTTTGGAACTATTGGGGCAATAATTCATTGTTAATAAAAGACTCTGTAAGCGTAGTGTGATCAGCTCCATCCTTCTTTCCTCCACCTTCAGCTGCATGAGGAAACCGTCCAGAGGAGCAACCAGGACGCAGCGGCGCCGGCGGTCCAAGTCCCCCATCCTCCACCCTCCAAAGTTCACCTACTGCAGCACCGCGCCGCCCTCCGCCCTGTCCACCCCCGGCGCCGGCTTAAAGCACCAGCGCCTAGATGAGCCGCCGGAGTCCTGCCCCCCCAGCGACGGGAGGACGGCCCCTGGCGCCGCCGTCACGGCCCAAAAGGAGCTCTCGCCCTCTGGCGCCGTCGGCCACCTCTCCCCTCTGGTTTTCGGGTCTTGCGGCGGCTACGAGAGGCGCGCTGCGGTACCGGAGACGGCGTTGTCCAGGCGGGACGGAGACGGAAGCCAGTCGAGCGAGGAAAGCGACCCGGAGAAGAGCGCCGGGGGAGGAGCCGAGTCCGCAGAAGGAGCACCAGCAGCAACTCGGGCCGCCGGCGCCGCGGACGCTGCTGACTTCCGAGCGTTGTCCGAGCGCCACGGCAGCGTCTCAGCAGAGGGCCGCTGCCCGTGTGCCTGGAAGAAGAGCTGTGGTCCTCAGGGCGAGGACGAGACGACAGGACGGGGGGCGGAGCTCGAGTGCCGCTGTGGGCCCCTCCGTCGGGGCTGGCGGGGGGTGGAGGTGTACTCCTTCACGGGGCTCCGTGACGTCATATCCGAGTGCGAGAGGAGCCTGCCGGGCGGCGAGGACGCACACAGAACTCTTGGCGCCGCCTCCTCCTCCTCGCCGCCTTCGGCATCCTCGGCGCTGTCGTCCGGCTCCCCTCGCTCGTGTTCCGAGCAGGCGAGGGCCTTCGTCGACGACATCACGATAGAGGACCTTTCCGGCTACATGGAGTATTACCTCTACATCCCCAAGAAGATGTCACACATGGCTGAGATGATGTACACTTAAGAGGAGGCAATGTGGTTTAGTTCTGTGCTGCTGGGGGGGCGGGGGGGTAGAACGGTTCAGGCCGGAGAGTAATTTAAGTAAACAACGTTCACACAGGTTAAAAACTGCAGTTTTTGTCCCCCCCCCATTTAAAATGTTCTGTTGCTCTCGATGCACAAAAAGGATGATGAGTGCAAACTGCCTGTGATCAGCTGTCTGGATTCATTTCACCCAATAAAGCAGCAAAGTGCTTTGGACGGCGTGTCGGTTTGTGTCTTTTGGGGCTTTTTCACTAATAAACAAGAAATTATTCTTTAGACAAAAATAAAATGACAGAAAAAATATATCTGGAATTCTGTTCCAAATCTCTTGAGCGTAATATAAACTTTATCTGAGACTAATGTTACATGGCTGCAGTACATTTTTAAAATATATATAGTGTATATATATATATATCGTATAAATATTTATATTAAATATATAAACATTGAAGGAATAATGGAAATCTTTAAATAAAGTACATTACTAAATCCAAAGAAATTTTGACAAGATATTTTTACTCTTCTTTCATTCGAAACCGTCTCAATGATTTGACTTGTTTTCTAATTGTTTCTAAAGGATCTTTGTTTCCATCACAGGGGCACAACTGGTTCCTCTGGTCATCGCCGAGTCATTGCTTCTCTTAAAGGTTCCACAAAGGGTCGCAGACGGCCACCAGGGGGCAGCGTCTCCGTGGGTTCCCCCGAGGTACCGCGGGTTTACAGTGTGTTTTACGGTACCGTGCTGCTTAGTGTGGCTACCTGCTGTGCGACCTGGACTCATTCAGCAGGGGCGTCCCCCACCACAGGGGGCCCACGCTTGCACACCTCATCACCACCAAAGCTCTAATTATTTGCAAGGTTGACGTGACTTTGTAATTATAACTCTGAATATAGAACAGGCCTTCACTGACATAATAACTAAAAGTAATATCATACGCACCTTATTTGCTACCTGTTTGCAACCCTCCAGTGTCAGTGGCTGCTGAGCTGCAATCAATGTGCTTCCTTTAGACAAGCAGTCAGTGCCTCCATACCGAACACGGGACATGTTGTATCCCATTCTCAGAATAACTGTTCAAACATCATGACACAATTTCATTTAATCAACCATACAGGCCTAGATGACATCATACAACATCGGAAGTTGTCCTCCTGCTCCTTAGATATTCAAACTGTTTGACCATTGATCTATAAGTTGTAAACACATCCCTCCTCTCAGGTGTTAATAAACCACTCCTAACGAAGGCTAATCTAGACGCCACAACAATGAAAGACGATAGGCCAGTATCAAACCTTTCTTTTCTAAGTAAGATAATTGAAAAGGCGTTTTTCCAACAGCTAAACTACTTCCTGGCTGCATATAACTGTTTTGATGCCTTGCAGTCAGGCTATCGACTGCACCAACGAACTGAATCTGCTCTTGTTAAGGTTTTCCACTTAAACACAGACAATGGCAGAATTCCAGTCTTAGTATTACTGGATCTCAGCATTTGACACGGTCGACAACGACATACTACTGGATAGACTAATCAACTGGGTAGGACTCTCTGGCACGGCACTTAACTGGTTTGAATCCTACTCTAAAGACTGAAAATACTTTGTGTCTGTAGTTAATTACACATCAGAGCTGAAGAAAATGACATGTGGTGTCCCCCAAGGTTCAATACTGGGGCCCCTTCTCTTCAACATCTGCATGCATCTATTGGCTCAGATTATGGAAAACAATCATAGTTATGCAGATGACACACACGTCTATATAACTATATTACCAGAGGACTACAATCCAATACAGGGGCTGTGTACATGCATTGACTTTCGAACCTCGAGCTCGCCGCGATGCTCTCATTGAACTTGAGGAGAATAAGCGTGAAACCACAAAGAGCCTCTGTGGAAACACCCGGCGCCTCGAAGCGCGGCTCGTTTCTCGTAATGCGATTCAAACATAGAGACAGAAGGGTACAAATTACCGAACAAATGGCAGAAAAACCCCTGAGGGAATTTTCTTTTAGTGGTTAAAAGACACGTTTTGTGAAGGGAGTCTACAGAAACAAGACAGCATGAAGGTTTCACATGTCTCGCGTTATTAGTTTAACTTTTTGAAACATGGTGCTCGAGGATTAAAACAAAGTGAAGTTCAGATTATTTACTTCACATGTGACTTTTAGTCTTGAGGTCGAAATGAAGAAGATCCGTCTCTCATTTTCTTTTCATCATTCTTTAAAGTTCACCTCGACCCAGACGAGGTTGCGGGAGTTAATCTGTCACCAACAAAAGCTCAGCTGATTCTGTAACTCAGTGACTGAATGTGGTTTGTGCAGAATCTTCTTTCTCATATGAAACCTGTGGTTTGATTTCTACCACAATGCCGCAGGACAGCTGCTACCAATCGCTTCTCCGTTTTTATCTGTCAACCAGACGTTTCACATTCTGCAAACAGAAGACACGCCGCCTTCCTTCTCTCTTCATTTCACCCGAAACTTCTGGAAAGAAGAAGAAAGAAAAGCAACAGTTCCAGTTTTTAACAGGAAAGGTTTCAGCGTTTAAAAAGAGGAAACGAGGCTCACTTTTTATCGCTTTCATTCAAGTTCTGTTGCTGTGCGATGAAATTCCATCTAAAGACACAGACGATCACGTCAACGGAGCTTATTTATTTCAATCAAACGTGTGTTTCACAGACATAAAAGCAACATTCAGAGCAAATAAATGTTATATATTCACACACATATATATATATATATATATACATATATATATATATACATTCATACCTATATTTACAAACAAGTGAATTAATCCGACGAGGTTTGTAAACTACAAATTAGCTGCTTGTAAATGATAAATTAGCTGCAGATCAGATCTAACAGGAAGTAGCTGTTTCTGTGACTTCCTGTTTGTTTTTTAAAGGCTTGTCCCACATCTCGTCCCACTTTGTCCAACGAGCCTCATATTTCCCCCCCAGAACTTCCACAGCAGAAAGTAAAGATATCAGCATCCACAAAACATGCACAGTATTTGGACTGTGTGTGATTTATCTATTTCCATATTTCATTTGAATGTACCTGTTAGATTTAGTGGATTCTGATGTCGGCAGGAATGCGGCCCGTGGGATCGGGTTCCTGGGGCCGGATGGAGATGTGGCCCCAGAGAGATTGTGTTTCCACGGAGAGCCAACAAAGACCGCCGGGAGAACCCAGGACCCTGTGTCCCTGTCCCCCCTGGGAACGGCCCAAACACCCGCGGGGGTTCTGATCATTAGCGCGGGTCGCTTCCACACGTGGCGAAGGCGCAGCGACCTCCATACGACCCGCTTCCCTCCTCTCGTTGTCTCCATTTGGTCACAGAGCTGCAGTTTCATCGCTGGTCGCTCGTTTCTACAGGAAACAAGGAAACTACAAGAAGGTAACGGAGGTTCAACGAATCGGAGCCAAAGCAGCGGCTTTGACGTGACGTAGTCGGAGAAGTTAGCGCCTATTTTAGAGTAAGTTACTTAAGTACGGAGCGACACGGGACACTAACAGCTCTGGTTTGACTCGTCCGTCTCGTCTGTGTCCTGTTTGTACTCGATGGTTCATGATCACCTGGATGGCAAAATGCATTTCACACTAATGGATTTTAGACCGACTGGTAAGATACTAATTCAGTTTCAGTTTAGGCCGAAATGGTCGTTTGCATTTAGGTTCTTTTAACATTAGCAGCACATACAGAACATATGGACACATGTAGACAACAAACTGCTTCTTTGGTAACACAGAGATTTTACCACAGAAACAGTAGAAAGATGTAAATAAATAGACAGAGTCAGTATTTAACCATGTTTCTTTTTTAAATGCATATACCGGGTTTAATATTTGCTACCAGCTCCTCAGTATGTTTAACGTGATGAAGATAAAATCACATCTCTTCAAATGGTGAATAATTTAGGATTAAGATACTTCAAAGAAGTTATTCAACCCTAAAACAAATAAATACGTCTGGCACCTTCTCATGAAGCCCAAACACACGGAAACGTATTTATGATGTCGTGCTCTTTTCTGGGAGGCCTGGCCTCCATTATGGTGCTTGCCCCCTCCCGTTCGACCTCTGACCTATGTGAGCGGGTTCAAAGGCCTCTCAGGGTGGCGTTTAGGGGCGACGAGGGAAACGAGCTGATCTGGAAGCGCCGGCCTAAATGCTTCCACATGCTTCCGCTCGTACGTGCGTGTGAGAACCAAACCTGTGGGAACCAGAATCCTGCAGGAAACCTTCGACACGATGGTCTAATTATGGTATTTATTTAATTGGATTGATTAAAGTGTCATTCGTAGAGTTGTGTATTCATTATGTCTATGGTTAAAGTAAATAAAGAATGAAATATCAAGTATTTTGTAAATGAATAAAGTAAAAACTAATTAAGTCTAAACCTTGTTTCAACTTTATATATATTATATATATTTTTATATATAATTTATATCACATCTATTAGAACATGTATATGTTGAGATGAACATATGAGGAAAGACCAACTCAAAAGCCCCACAAAACATCGCACAATGAGTTATTTTGGATAAAATGTCCACGTCCTGGTTGTGTGTCCTCACCGCAGTCCTGCGTGCGTCCAGCTGTTCTCCTCTCGTTCCTCTCGGGTTCTGGTCGCTCTCGTGATGTCGTTAAACGGCGCGGCGGCGAAGGGCCCAAGTGTCAATGTATTTTAGGGCACTGAAATTATAACGTCATTCATTAACTGTATCAGTGATTGGCTAGCTGCTTCTAAGACCCGCCTCTTTGGGGCCGACCCGAGCTGAAACAAGCACAGAGGATGTGCAGGAAAATCATACATTTTGCACATATATCTTAATTATATATATATATATATATATATATATATATATATATATATATAATCCACGTTTGAAAAGCACAAAAACACAAAAATTGACTATTTGTAAAATGTATTTTTAATATAATAAACAACAAAAACAATAAAATAAATAAAAGGTTTGTTGCTCATGGTGGGGCCAGTGTGATACCCAGAGAACCGGTTTGCCCTGTGAGCTCACATAGAAGGTTGGTCATGTGACCATCAATAGATGTTATCAAGTTACCAGCTGATTGTCTGGTGACAGAGACAACGTCCATCCAACAAGCCAGCTGATGCTCCGTGTGTGTGCGTGCGTGTGTGTGTGTGTGTGTGTGTGCGTGTGCGTGCGTGCGTGTGTGTGCGTGTCTGTGTGTGTGTGCGTGTGCGTGTGTGTGCGTGTGCGTGTCTGTGCGTGTGTGTGTGTGTGCGTGTGTGCGTGCGTGTGTTTGTGTGTGTGTGCGTGCGTGTGTGTGCGTGTGCGTGTCTGTGGCGTGCGTGCGTGTGTGTGTGTGCGTGCGTGTGTTTGTGTGTGTGTGCGTGTGTGTGCGTGTGCGTGTCTGTGCGTGTGTGTGTGTGTGTGTGTGCGCGTGTATGTGTGCGTGTGTGCGTGCGTGTGCGTGCGTGTGCGTGCGCGTGTGTGTGTGTGTCTGTGGCGTGTGTGCGTGCGCGTGTGTGTGTGCGTGTGCGTGTGTGTGTGTGTGTGTGTGTGTGCGTGTGTGTGTGTGCGTGTGCGTGCGTGTGGCTCCTTAAAGAACAACCCTTTGCAGACGCAGTGAGTCCAAAGTTCAGGTGCTTGTGACATTCAGTAAACAGCCTCCCCCTTTTCCTCCTCTTCCTCCCTCCTCTTCCTCCCTCCTCTTCCTCCCTCCTGCTCCCCTCATTAGTCAGTGAGTCATTTCCAAAGAAAAGAAAGAGAAAGAGAAAACACTCAAAGCGAAGCTACAAGAGGCACAGTTGAGGAAAAGGGTCGGAGTTTCAGATTAAAACAGAAACCACAGAAGACTGATACGACAAAGTGGAATTTACTGCAGAAAACATGTGAAACGTATTAAAACAATATGAATGCTCCGTGGTGGATGCTCTTTTTTGTCCTTGGACCATGTGTGCGTCGTCAGTGTTTGTGTGTGTGTGTGTGTGTGTGCGTGTGTGTGTGTGTGTCTGCAGCTACCAGCCATCCGATAAAAAAAGTATTTTCAAAAGCGACCTCAGGAACCAGCGGAGAAGATTAAATTCTCAGAGCGAGGAGTTCAAAGGCAATAAAAAATGAAATGAAAACACGGGCGGTGGGCAACACAAAGAGCTCATTGTTGCCGGGCGGAGGAATGCCTGTGCATTGTGTGTGTGTGTGTGTGTGCAGGGGGGGGGCAGAGGCCAGGAGGAATTTTGAGTTCTTGCACGGAGACAAAAGAGGCCTATGAGGCGCTGAGAGGGAAACGGATGCTTCCATTCACGTTTCCCTCCAGCCGACTTACTGATACGCGTCACGTCCACGGCGACGGGACCCACAGGAGGGTCAGTCAGAACCGCTGAGCTGCTTCCATGCACACACACACACACACACACACACACACTTCCTGTAACCCTGTCATCTGACCTCTGACCCCTGAGAAGGCGCCAACAGATTTAAGAGCCCTTTGCTTCCGGGACGCTCTTCGTCAGGAGGTCTCACTCCTCAGTTTAAAAGAAAAACTAAAAACTGAATCTCTTTTCAAAGACTTTGTGTTTGAACATTTAAGGGAGGAGAAATGTGGCCCCACATACAGGAAGAATAAAATAGCTTCAATTAATTAGCCTTTAATGTGAAACACACGTGGGACTCATTTCAGTTTCAACAAAAATCTGATTACAGTCCTCCTGTCCTCCTGGGGACCAAATGGAGACAAAGGGACAGGAGAAAAGAGACATAAGGAGAGACAAGAGACAATAAATGAAGAAGCAAGAGACAGAAGATTAAAGACTGAAAACAAGAGACCAAGGTTGAGAGACAAGAGACAGACAGACCAAATAGAAAGAAGACGAGAGACATAAGAGGGCAGATACAGAGACAACAGACAGACAAGAGGCGGAGCTCCAACTGCTGACGAGGGATTTATCATCATTTATTTCCGAATGTTTTACATTTTATTTCTGAGAAAAGACGACGGATCGTGTTTCCTTCTCCATGAAGACACGAAGCAGCCGACAAGAACAGACAGCGTCCACATCCCCGTCAGGTCCGATTCTAACGCCGTGTCGACATGAGAGCATGACGCTGTGTGTGTGTCTGTGTGTGTCTGTGTCGTCAGCGTTTGGCTTCACCTGTGAGTTATTCCTGCAGCTCTGAGGCCGACGAGCTGCAGCTTGTTTGATGACTGTGTGAATGTGAACACACACACACACACACACACACACACGCGACCCTCCTGGGACATTTAGGTCTATATATTGAAAACAAGAACATGTCCTTTATTGATCCCCTTGAGGAAGTTGTTCTTTGCATTTAACAGACAACAAAATTGTCGTATTTCCTTTTCAGGGATGAAGTCTCTTGTGCGGTGAGGTCAAAGGTCAAACCGCTTTGACCTCACCACGATAGCAAGGTGGTACACCTGCTCTAGTATTGTGTCCGGGTCTGTGTACTATGCTGAAGTATTTCCAGATATTGTACGTCTGCTACATGCAGATTAACACAAAGTAGGATACGTCGCTGACACACACACACACACACACACACTAATTCTGCTCAATGGTTATACTGAAGTTATTATCTTTAAGAAAGCGATTAAATGTATTTAAAGTTTTCTATTAATAAGGATCAATTTGACAAAACATTGAAGGAAAAGACGAAGCTTTTTAAAAGGTTAATGTGCATAAAAATCGCTTTATTTCCAATAATGCATCAGAACCTTTAGAAAGAAACCAATGATTCATTGGCTGTGATTCATATGCGACATCAAGCAGCAGATCGCGTTTCTCTTCCACGCCGAGCGAAGCTTCCTGTCCGACCCACACAGACGTGAAGTTAAATCGGATCTTCTCTGGAATCTCAAAGGACATCGGAGCAAAAGAAATTAAAAAAAAGAACTAGAAGTTGAAGCTTGATTTCGTCTGAACAACGAGCACACAAGCGGTCCTTCTACGAACAAACCACATAAATACAAAAACAACAAACACGGTCTAAAGAGAATAGAAACACTTAAAAAAATGAAACATTTCAAAACTATTTGCCTCTGAACAAAAAGGAATCTTTTTTTAAATCACATATACAACAGCTTTAAAAAGGGGAACAAACCCCAACCTGAAAGAAAGGAATTGAATTATCTTACATTTAAATTAATGATAAAAAAACAACAGATCAATAAGAGGAGTTAGCGTTAGCATCCGTAGCATTAAAACCGTTCTAATTTACAGGAAATCACATGAACGTCAATGTCGGGGGGAACAAAACAATTTGGCATTTAGATATTTGGTAGTTATGTGGCCAAGTACCAAGTTAATATTTGAATATTTACACAAACTGTTATAAAACGTGAACATCAAACCGGCTCAGAGGCCCAAACACGGAAATATTGAACGTCAGTGGAGCTTTTTGAGAAAGATTGACACTAAAAGTACCAAAATCACCAGTTCAACAGTCTTTAATAAATGTTTTAACAAGCTCCTGATTCATAGACGAGCATCCAGTTAGCTTAGCTTAGCACAAAGACTGGAGACAGCTAGGTAACAAAGTACATAACCGTGTACCACTCAGAGTACATCCTTCGTTTACAAAGAGTAAAAAACCCCACAAATCTTCATTTGAAAATAAATTAAAAGTTATGTGGAGGATTATTAGTTTTCATCACACATCAGCGTCACATCCAGCTCACGACTTGCAAACTGAAGAACTTTAGGACCGTGAAACGACATTGAGAAAAAAAACTAAAAAAAACTCTGATCGTGAGATGTTGGCCGACGGCATGCTAACAGTTTCCAGTCTTTGTGCTAAGCTAACCGTCTGTAGGCTGTGGCGCCAACTGAGCGAGAGGTGCTGATCGCTCCAGAGTCCTAAACAGGGTCGTACCGGCGTGTGTGTGTGTGAGAGACACACTCTCCCACGCGATTAGCTTAGCATATTATCAGGCGCTACGCGTCAGCCTGACGAGGAGGAAGAAGCGTGAGAACCGTCGGTTTCTATTAAATCTCAATGAATTGGACCAACGCTGAGCTCACTTCTTTTCCCGCCATGAAGGAATCTTTAATAGAAAATAAAAGGAAATCTCTCTGCGTTACAAAGCGTTCTAAAAAAAGAAAATTAAAATAAAAAGTGTTCACACAGGTACTTTTTCTCTAAAGGATCACAGAGGGTAAAATAAATAACTGGACTTTACTGTACCGAGACAGAATCATTGCACAGCGTTTAGTGTTCTGCTCCTGATGGGGGAGGGCTGAGACGCCCCAACAGAGCCTCCGATTGGAGGGGAGTAACGAGAGGATGCATCAGGTGGGAGGAGTCAGTCCATCGCTGATGCGTTAGCGGCTGTTGAGCCAAGCGGAGGAGGTACGATGAAGATGATGACGAGGCACAGTGAGGCTGATTGGGTTCGTGTCTATGCGTAGATCTCCGTGGTGGGGGCTTTCTTGTAGATGGGCTTCTTCCCCAGGTCGTAGCTGCCCTCGTCCTTCTTCTTCACGCGGTAGATGAGGAGGACGATGAGGAGCACGGCGAACATCAGGCCGACACCGCCGCCTGCGATCAGAGCTGCAGGAGACAAACCGGCTTTTAAAAGAGGAGAAGAAGAGAACAGCGGCGTCGGCGCGTTGGAGCCGCACTGACCTGCGAGGACCTCCGTCTTGTTGAAGATGCTGTCTCCGGCGTGGGCCATGAGGACGTTGGACGGGTGTGTGTCGACGGGCTCCGTCGGCATCGGGATCTCGTTGGCGCGCGGGTCGCTGTCCACAGGCGGCCGCTCCTCCGGGACCTTCTTGTTGTGGACTTCGGGCTGAAGAAGAACATCTTTGTTTAAATGTGTGTGTCCGTTCTCCTGCAGCATCTCGCCGACTTTGCAGTAAAAACAGAACGACGTGAAGAGGCAGAACGCGGTGAATGAAAACCCACCTGAGCAGACGGCTCCGACTCCCTCACAGGAGCGTCTGTGGAAACAAGGACATACTTCATGTAATCTTCTGCCTAAAAAGCTTCACAATCACAAACATCCTTTCAAATGTTGTTGAGCACCGACCTTCGTCCCCGGAACCGGAGAACTCCTCGTCCATCGGGTCAGTGTAGTTGTCATCATCGTCATCGTCGTCGTCTTCCTCCTCGTATTTATCCTCTTCGCCGTCCGTAAAGCCGAAGTCGGAGCCGTCCCCCGAGGACTCCACGCTGTGGTGGCGCGTCGACATGGCGACCGTCTGAGTGGTCTTCATGGGCATCCATGTCTCTGTCTCCCTCACCTGTTGGGACACCAGAGACAAACAAACCAGTTGAACTTTCACACATTAAATGGTGGGAGGACGAACAAGAAACTGAGTAGCACATGAACTACGGTCTCGTCCTTTTTTAATCCCATTAAGTTCTACTGTCGCTCATCGCTGGGATCGACTCCTTATTTGGTCTTTTCCCCTCAAAGATCTGATCTACGGGTGTTGATGTGATCTCACACCGTCTCTAAATCACTGAGGATTAACATCAACCTCCTCTAATCACATCGCCTAATTTAATCAGCCCGTTGCTGTCTCACACACACACACACACTCACCCTTTATAAGTGGCCCCCATGGGGGAGATTCCTCTGTTCACCTTAATCTCTGGGACCTTCTGTTTGATCTTTTTACATGTTCATTGAGATGAAATAACTTGAGTGTCATATCTGCCATCTTATTACACACTGAACACCCACAGCATGACGGTCGTCGACACATCAGCGAGGCAACAAATGAGTTTGTTGTTTTTAAACAAGTTGAGCTGCTCCACATTCTTTGCCCGTATCCACGGCAACGAGTAACCTCCCCCGGGTAAAGTCCCCCTGGTTGTGGATCAGTGCTCCATTATGTCCTCATTTAAACCCCTGTGTGTGTGTGTGTGTGTGTGTGTGTGTGTTCTCCACCGTGGTGCTGTAACAAGCCCGCTGAGTCACATTTATGGGAATCCTCAGAGTATCGGAGCGCGAGTCACATCCGCTGGTGGTCCGAAGCTTTAAACGGGATTCTTAATGTTTCTTTGGAGCAGCGCCTCGCCCAGAGAGGAGCCGGAGGTTACGTAATGAGTCAGCGTGGAACTTCCAACAGGCTATTGAAAAAAGGAAATGGCTCTTATGGGAGCAGAGACCCCCATGACGCAAACGCCGCCCCAACAGGCCGAGTGGCTCAACGGGCATCAGGCTGCTCGGGACACATTATGAAATGGATCATATGGAAGCGCTGCTGCTGACACCGCGTCCCAGGATGCATCAGTCCGGCCTTCTTCAGCGTGGAGGTCCGAAACTTCCCATGAAGAGGCCGTCTGTCCCGGCCCTTCTATTGAAGGCAAACAATGCCTCGAGAGCGTATCAATGACCGAGGTATCTGGGGGTAAGCCTCCAGGCCCCCCCACAGAGGCATCTGGCCCTTTCACACGGCGCCGTGGAGGAGGTTCGCCGTGTGAAAGGACAGACAAGAAACACCAGCCCGCAGGAATGTGTTTCCTTATCCTCTGTGATGTCCAACGTCTCACGACCTTTTCAGGAAAGACAATTTTGTTGTTATCCAACACCCCCCCTCCGTCCCCCCCGATCATTTCATGTGATACTTGGCTGCCATTTTGTGGCAAAATAAAGTTAAATGGAAAAAATGTTTTGGCCCAATTCTACTTGTACCGACTGGTGTCCTGGTTAGATGCACACACACCAAATAAAGGCCCTGTGTGTGTGTGTGTGTGTGTGTGTGTGTGTAAATGCCATTTGAGATCTGACTAACTACATCAATTCTTAGACTAACAAAAAAATCCTCATGTTAAAATAGTTCTGAGAAGACTTCATGGCATCGGATCATTAGCTGCCAGAAGGAGAAGACGGGGAAACTCCTCCGTGTGCAAACGTTCAACCCCAGAAAGCATTTGATAATCCAGCGATGCAGGATGATCCTGGAGGTACAGTTGGTCACGCAAAACACACACAAAGAATCCGTCCATTCTCGTGCAAATTATTTGGGACTGAATGCAAAACCGGCGACATTGTGAGAAGCACTCGGGGGCCGAGCGGAGGACAAACAACCAATAAGGACAACGGCAGCTGTACTTCACCTTCAGACAACACCGGCCGCGCTGACGCCAGTGGAAACCAGAGGATTCGGTTCCGGGCGGAATCTGATTAAAACACGAGGCCCGACTGGAAAGGCGTCCTGTCACGGGGACCGCTGCTGACCGCATTCCGATCGTGCCATCGGCTCTTTTGTCATCGATTAGCTGGGAACACCAGACAATGACCTCAGTGGGCCGAGCTCAGAGCCAAGGATCCGTCAAAGGAACGCGGCCGGCCGGCCGGCTTAAGGACGGCGGACAAAATCCAGAAAGCGGCGATTCGTTTGAAGAGCAGAAAGAAAGACGAAGCCATTTGAGGCCCGTCAGCGCGGACACACCTTCATGTGAGCGGCCCTCTTAATGAAAACGGGCCTCGGGGCCCTATTGAGAACCCGCCATGTGTGCAAAATGCCCAAGAGGGCCGGTCAAAGTTACCAGAGGTCACATTCCAGTGTGGAAATCAAAAGGGGGGGGGGGGGGCTGGAGGCACTGAGGAATGTAAAGGATCGTCGCTTCCTTTTGAATTACTTCAGACTCCACTAGAGTACAAGAACATTTACAGGGGGGTCAGAGCTCACAAACAAGTCAACAAGTCTCTTCTGAGAAGCTTTTAGCCTCATAACAGAATAATGAAAAGCATGCACGCGTTGCTTTATTGTTGTACGTGTATTGTTTGTTTCCACTCATTTGTTTGTTGTTATGCACCAACACAAACTTCGTGTGTCTTAAAACCACCACTTGGCAACGCGACGCTGTAAAGGAATAAAAACATAAAACTACTTTCTGGGACCACGTAGCGGCGGGGGGGGTTCAAACAAATGCGGGGTCTTTGTTTGGGACGATCGGATTGAAAATGTCCATGTGGCCCCTGAGAGGCAGGACGAGTCCCCCGAACATCCGGGTCCTCCGGGACAACAACAGCAAGCAGCTCACTCCCGGAGCCGTTACGCCAGTTGGCGAACAACATGGAGGCTGCGGAGAATAAACTCCCCCGAGTTGAACAACAACAACAACAACAACAGCAGCAGCAGCAGCAGCAGCAGCACAGGTGAAGAGACGCTGACGTAAAAGGGCTCAGTCAGCGCGAGCGTCTCCCTCGCGAGGCGGCGTCACTTCGGCTAGCGCTAAAGCTAGCTAGCTAAAGTTGCTCACAACTCCCCGTACTTTGATTTAAAGTTGGAAATGTTCGGTAGAAAAACGACAACTTACCGACTCTGACAGGACGGAGGCGGACAGAAGGAGCACGAGGCAAACACGCAGCGCGGGCGTCATTTTAGGTATCGTGACTTCGAAAAATAACAGTATCGTTGAACGTTGACTTAAAACCAGTGCGGCGAGTCAGTGTTTCTTCGAGTGTCTTCGTCTTTTGTTTTGTCCCAGTTATAGTCCGACCAGTTCTGCCCGTCTTTCACTCGTATCGCGTCTCTTCGTGTCTCTCCGCCGGCCGCTCGGTTCTTTACTGACTGCTGCGCGGCTCGATCGGCTCTATATGCCCGCCCCCGCGCGCGCTCTCCTCCAATCAGCGTCGAGCTGTGACGTTGCGCTACACCTCCTATGTAGTTTACGGTAAATCCGTCACACGCACACACACACACACATATATATATATATATATATATATATATATATATATATATATATATATATATATATATATGTAGTTTCATTTTCTATATATATATTATATCACAACATCCCATTCACTAGGATGGTTGACACATAATACACATCGTGAGCCCTTCACTGACCTTCTAAACTCTTTTTACTAAAGTAAATGTGTAATCTCTCTCACACAACATGTCACAGTATATATTATCACATTACATGTCGTTTAACTGACGCTTTTATCCAAAGCGACTTAAAATAAGAGCATTTCAACCATAAGGATACAAACTCAGAAGAATAAGAAAGTGCAAGTTTATTCGATAAGCCGATTTTCAACAGTTCTGTAGACATCCGCTCGTGTTCAGCGGTCAGCTGATCCCCCGCAGCGTCCGGACGCTCCAGCGGCTGATTGGAGGAGATTGTGAGGATACATTCAAATGAGCTGAATAGGTGGTTAGAACATGGTCGTTGGATTCCTGCTCGTCACAGAGGACTGAGACTGAATAACATCAGGGGCAGTGCCGTGTTACCACCTGGTCTACTACCCGCTCGGTGGCGTCTCAGCCCGTGGGGCCCGTGGGGCCCGTGGGGGGGAAGCTGGACGCTCCGCGGACTTTCTGTGGAAATTCTGAAGTGACGACATCTTCCGGTGAAATAACACAGAAGTTCCACCTCTTTTTTTTCCCTGCCGCTTCTTTCTCTCTTTAGGGTTTAACCACGTTCCCGTTTCCACGTGACGTCACCGTCCTTGCAGCTTCGTAACGTCATCAAATCCCCTGGTTCCCGTTTTTGTTTCCCTGGTTCCTCCCACCAGAGGAGGAAGTGAATGAACTGAAGAATGTGTAGAAAGTAAAAGTACACACGATACACTGTGAAAGAACTGCGCATCAAGTAAAAGTCCCGCATAGAAAATGAAACTACAGTGTCGACAGATGGTTATCGGTTGGTTATTGTTTACTTTTAAACAATACTTTTGTTTGTAAAGAATAGAAGCGTAAAATAGTGAGAAATACTAAAATAGCTGTAATTGAAGTAAAGTACAATGTCTCTACGTTTTAACCCTAGAAATAGGGTTAAAACCCTATAGAAATAGGATAAAAAATGCCAATGTTATCGAGTGTAATTTACAGTTTTAATGCAAAATATTGTGATAATATGCATAGTATTTAAAAACACACAGATAAATATTTAATTGATTTATTGTCAAGGCAGAAAACCCCCTTTTTCTCAATTGTTTGTTTTTTTAGCCCCTCTTCACACTGATGTTTTTGATTATTCTTCCTCCAAATGATTCAGATAACAAATGGGACTTTTATTCTGCTAACTGGTCACAATCAGGATTTAAAGGTTTACAAGTTGAAATGGTTTGGAAACTCTGGCCTGTACGTCTTTCCCTCCCGTTATGATTAAAGTGTTTTTAGGTCAGTGGAATTCTATTTTAAACAAAGTTCCACCAGCGGAGATTTTCGTCTGCCTCCAGGGTGATAAAACACAAAGATTAACCAATGAGTAGACACAATAACACACACACACACAGACACACACACACACACACACACACACACACACACACACACACACAAGATAAGATGATTCTGGAAAACCCCCAGACAAAGTCATATCGTAATGTGTGTGTGTGTGTGTTTGTGTGTGTGTGTGTGTGTGTGTGTGTGTGTGTGAGCAGCACACAAACGCTTACATACATAAAGATGTACACCACCAGCAGAGAGATGTTTACATCTCAAGTGTGTGCATCATTGTATTGTGTACTCAGGTTACTCGTGTACTTGGTGTAGTGCTGGAAGAAGTATTCATATTAGACGTTATTGCAGAAATACCTAGTTAGAAGTAAATGTACTGGATTCAAAATGTGAGGTAAAAGGTCAAAGGTGTTGACCTACTATGCAGATTGTATATTACATTATTGGATTATAACTATTGATGTATTAGCGTTGAAGCTAATTATGCTAACTTCATAATAAAAGAAAGCAGTAAACACCTTCAGGAAGATGATGGGGGAAAACTAATTCCACTCCAAACTGAGCCGATGGGGAACTACATCCACACCACCGACCTGTAACCGCTCAGGATCAGTGTGGGGGGGGGCGATGTTGTGTGTTTGGGTGTTCAGAAGGCTCCACCCCCTATTATCCCGGAGTCCAATAGAGGGCGGAGCCTGTGTGAGTTAGAACTAAGGTTACGTCGATGTAACTCCAGTTCTGTATCGAGGGGTCCCTGCAGCTTCTAGGTGCTCCATGAAGAAGGTTTAGGACATCAGGCCGCCTGCTGGTGTCATCCAGTAGTGACTCGTAGACATTATGTAACCATGAATAAAGAAACATAGATACTGCACAACACTCCTTTCCCTCGGTGTTCCATGAGTCCTTATTGAACCAATGCTCTCAGGAGTTAATTAAATGATATTCACCTGCTCCACTACATTTGACCTACATCCAGACTACCTTTGAACACAAATATAAGAGCTTCACCCCCCTCAGTCCACATGTTCAGCAATAAATCAGCACTTTGGACTGAGACACACCTCAGTGATGTATTTGAACCAACAACATTCATCAGAGGTGTGGCGAAGCTCTGCCCCTCACCTGGTTCTCCTGACCAACAAGGGAGCACGTTCTTTCCTTTCCTCCACACACTGAAGGTGAGTTTGAGTGGAAACGGTAATGTTCGTAGAAGAGGGAGGGGATCCATGACTGCTGTACTTTCTGCTGATCTCTGCTGTCCGGTCTGTCATGAAGTCTTCAGAGATCCTGTTGTTCTGTCATGTAGCCACAGCTTCTGTAAAGTCTGTCTGAAGAGCTGGTGGAGAGAGAAACAAGCTCAGTGTCCAGTTTGTAGGAGAAGATCTTCAAGATCAGAACCACCTTTAAACCTGGTGTTAAAGAACCTTTGTGAGTCCTTCTCAGTGGAGAGAGCTTCAGAGACTCTCTGCAGTCTGCACTCTGAGAAGCTCAGACTCTTCTGTCTGGACCATCTGCAGCCAGAACGAGTCCAGCAGCGCCCCTTGCTGGAGAATCACCAGCTGCTCTCAGAGGCTCTGATAGACCAGGCCAATCACCTGGGCAACATCTGGAGCGAGATGAAGGACATGCTCTCCTACACTCCTGTGGTTCTGGACCCAAACAACGCTCATCCAAACCTCCTTCTGTCTGAAGATCTGACCAGTGTGAGACGAGGAGAGAGAACGAAGCTTCCTGATAATCCAGAGAGGTTTGAGGAACGCTGTGTTGTTCTGGGCTCTGATGGATTTAACTCAGGGACTCGCAGCTGGGATGTTGAAGTAGGAGACAGTACCGTCTGTCTCTGTTTTCTGGGTGTGTCAGCAGAGTCCTTATGGAGGAAGGAGACATTTCTGTCTAGATTAATGGGAACATTGTTCGATGAAGGTAAATACTCAGCATGGTCACCACCAGCTCCACCCACTGATCTTGTTCTGCAGAAGAAGCCTCAGCGGATCAGAGCTCGTTTGAATAACTTAATATAATACTTGGTCCACTTCTGAATAAAACCTTTATACAACTCAAGAGGAAGCTTGAGTTTGGTTCATAGTGAGACGTGTTCTCAGCTCATATTTCACCTTTTAGAGCAGCAGAATTAAGACGGTGATGACACGTCTCTGCCTGTAGAGGACGCTCTGGTCTCACATCCCCAGCTTGGATATATATAACTAAACGTATTTGTTTAAGGTGAATATGATGTGATGTGCAGAAGCAGATAGAACCATGTGGTGTCACCTCAGTGCACTTGTATTTGTAGATAATCTAATTCTATAAATAAAATGTAATTGCTTGTATTTATTATTCAGCTGATACATAAATGATTTGCCGGTGTCTGCGAGGGGGGAGATATTCCAATGACGATGCAGTGATTTATGTTCAAGCAAAGAACAAAGAACAAGCTGCACTTGTACTCGCGTCCGTAATGACACAGTCACATTCCTGCCTTCATCTCAATGTTAAAAAGACGGTTTGTAGAGACACCAGAGACAGATGTTTATCTTGCTGGTGAGAAGCTACAGCTAGCGTCAGGTTTAAAAGATGTAGACATAATTATTGATTGTAAGGTAAAACAGGTGTTGAAATTAAATCTTGTGAATTTTCGATATATAAGACACTGTTTAACCATGCAGGCTATAAAACTGTGTTTTAATGCAATGATTGTCCCCCATCTGACCTACTGGCCACAAGCCAGCAGCACAACATTAAAACGTATTCCAAATCTCTATAAACAAGCCCCAAAACACTTAATGAATGCCTTTTTTTTGTATTTCATCATCACGTAATTTATCTCGTAAGTAAAAGTAGTAATACCACAGTGTAGAATTATACTAGATAGCTGCTGTCATCAGGGTGTCATTCAGCCGAATGATGACATGAAGCTGAAGCGCTTTGAGCGGTCAGAAGACTAGAAAAGTGTATCTACCGTTTACCATCTATCTGTTTACCATTACTTCACCGTGTGATACATCAAAACCAACTCGAGCAGATGATTCAGTGTCTCTGTCACGTCCTTCAGTGATGTAACAGGACTTATTACATAATAATATGAAGTTAAACGTAAAGATCAGCGGATGCGCGGCAGCATCCGGTGAACCACACACCAGAAAATAATACCGAAAAAAACAAGAGAATGAAGATGTAAACATGATCAATTCAAGTTAAAAAAATTATACCGACACCTTTGCGAAATAGATCACAGTAGCAAAAGGATGTAAATGAATAGTGTAAAAGTAAAATTATTAATTAAAAAAGTAAAATGCAACATGGATTAATTACGAAAGCAAAACTGTAAAGTGTACAAGAACTGATACCAACAGTAATGTAATTAACCCTTCGACAGTCGACCCGTCTCACTTCTTCACCTCTTAAGACTCATTTCACCTCTAAAGGGCTGAAGCCACGCCCCTCAAACCACAAAGCCAACGCAGGCAGCCGGGCGTGAATCCACCAGCACAGATCCATCATCGTTTGTCCCGGCGGCGTCCACCCGCCCGCCGAAGGTCAGGAGCACCAGAGACGGCTTAGAGACGCATGAAAGGCCGGCCTTCACGGCCTCGGAGAGCCCCCGACAGGAAATGAGCGTGTAATGAATGTCGCACTGGAATCAAAAGCAGGCAAGATGAATGACAGGGTTGGCTGGAAATCACCTGGACCGGGAGGCGGGGGGGGAGGGGGGGGAGGGGGGGGACGGCATAAAGAGGGCGAGAGAGAGGATGGATGGATGGAGGGAGGAGTAATTATTAGTGATTGAGCGGCGTCCCCCCCTCGTGTGTTTCATTAGCAGTAAGGCTGTTCACACACAATCTCCTCTCTGTTGGGCCGTGCCAATGCCCCCCCCCCCCCCCCCTGGTTTATTTGACCATCTAAAATCTTGACAGTTAATACCTGTATGTTTCCAGCATAATATTGTCCCTGGCAGAGATCCCCAGAAAATGTATCACTGTGAAAATAAACATGTGCCGCAGTCGCATGGTAGGTAAAGGATGGGGGGGGGGGGGGTCACGCAGGGGAGGTGTAGAAGAAGAAGAAGAAAGAGTTGGATGAAAAATACGACACAACAACAGAAGCTGTTGGACAGCTTCAAAACAGGAAAATAATACCTTTAACAGCGTCTTTCAGCGTTACAGCCGTTGTCGTGACAACGTCACAGCATCAGCTGAAGGAAGAACAAAGGAAAGGAAACATAAATCCCCTCAGAGTCCACCGTCAACATCTTTTACTGTGACCAGTGTTGCATGAAATCATGGCGCCATTAGCCAGCTGGTGGCTCCTTCGTTAGCTTGTTAATTCTGCTCTGATTACATACATTTCCCTCATTTAGCGGCTAGCTGCTGGTTAACTAGCCAGCCGCAAGGTGAACATTTTTCGGAGGCTTGCTAGCTATGTGAGGAAGGTTCTATGGTCGTGGTTCTATGTGACGGTGGTTCTATCTGATGGTGGTTCTATGTGATGGTGGTTCTATATGATCGTGGTTCCATGTAATGGTGGTTCTATCTAATGGTGGTTCTATCTGATGGTGGTTCTATCGGATGGTGGTTCTATGTAATGGTGGTTCTATCTAATGGGGGTTCTATCTGATGGTGGTTCTATGGAATGGTGGTTCTATGTGATGGTGGTTCTCTCTGATGGTGGTTCTATGTCATGGTGGTTCTATGTGATGGTGGTTCTATGTAATGGTGGTTCTCTCTGATGGTGGTTCTCTCTGATGGTGGTTCTATCTGATGGTGGTTCTATCTGATGGTGGTTCTATGTCATGATGGTTCTATGTGATGGTGGTTCTATGGAATGGTGGTTCTATGTGATGGTGGTTCTCTCTGATGGTGGTTCTATCTGATGGTGGTTCTATCTGATGGTGGTTCTATCTGATGGTGGTTGTCCCTTCAATGGTCCTGTCGTACAACTGCTTACTACTCGTCATATTTTAATCATTTCTGTCATATGAATTGAATGTGTTGTTCATCTTCTACATTGTTCATTCTGTGCACATGACATCATTGTAGTCTGTCCATCAGGAGACGGATCCTCCTCTGACGTTCCCACTGAGGTTTCCTGCCTTTTCCCCCCATGGAAGGGTTTTCATTTGTTGGGGAGTTTTTCCTGTGTTGGCGTGAGGGTTTTGGGACAGAGGATGTGTACAGACTGTAAAGCCCTCTGAGGCAAATTTCAATTTAAGATTTTGGGCTCTACAAAATAAAACAAATTGAATTATCAAGGCTAAAGCGTTTTGATTTTGTTGACTTTGGAACGTTTCCCCCCACTTACAGGCTTAATGAAAAACTACGCTAGGCCACTGCAGACAATATACATTTATATTTACTGTAAAGAAACTACTCCTTTGAACGACAACAGCTCTTTGCCCCCAGGCAGAAAGTGGCGTCCCTCTGAGCAAACACAGAAACACCTGCACTCAGGCTGCGAGGCTTCATCCTCACGTTGCCTCCAGCCGGTTCCACATGCACACATTTCCCCCGTGCGTCAAAGGAAAAAGGGTGGGGGGGGTGGAAGGTGATAGGCTACAATCATCACCACCACCACCATCATCATCATGGTAAAACACACACCCGGACATGTTTACACACACCGTTTATCAGGAGCCAGAGTGGCTTTTTTCTCTTTTTCCCCGGCTGCCAGGCTCCAGGGAGGAGGAGAGCAAAAGTCAACATTTCCAGGGTGAAGCTAGATGACTGAGCTGCAAACCGCAGACCCGTTAAGCAAACACCTGTGGGCTCAGGTGGAAAAGAGAGGCCTCTCCGGCGGAGAGAAGGGGCTCTTTCTCTCGGGATCAAGCCTCTCAGCACATGACCACATGACACTCTGGCTGCTTACGATTGAAAGCTGTAATTTTAGTGCAGTCTTTCAACCCTCTGACGTCGAAACAAGAACTGAAGAAAATTGGAGGACTCTACATACATTCAGCTGTATCTAATGAATAACTTTTATGTCTAGCACCCAAAGTGTACTTTTAGGAGGACTCTGCACTTGGTGCCTCGAAACATGAAAAGTGGACCCTCTAAGTTATGGACCACGTATGGTCTCCTTATCGGTCCACATATGGTCTACACAGAGGTCTACTTGGAGGTCTATATAGAGTTCCACCTATAGTCCATGTATGGTCTGCGTAGAGGTCCACGTATGGTCTACAAAGAAGTCTATAGAGGTCTGCGGTGTTTCAGTTGACTCATCCTCCAATAAACAGCCTCTTGCTGTGATCAGTGTCACATTGTTTGGCCCATCTGCAACCTGTAAACTCCTTATTGCGGACTGGATGTTCCCAATTTGTTCCCCGAGGAGGCCCTGGCTTATATTAGCCAAAAGGGGGCACTGGAAGAGCAGCTGGTACAAGCGGAATGCAGTAAATACGCATTCGCCGACCTTGGGTTTTGGTTTCAAGGCAATTACCGAGTCTCGGAGAAAAAGAAAACACAAGACGGGGAGCAGAACTTCTGTCAAAAGACGGAGCAGATGGGGGCACAGTGAGGGGCTTTAAGAGCTGGAAGGTGTCGACTGTTGCAGTGAAAAGAAAAAGGAGCCGTTTCCAAGAAGTGGGGCGCTTGGTTGGTTGGTGTTAAACAACTGTGAAAATAAGAGAAACAAAACGGTAAAAGTCGAGAAACAAATGACACTAAAGTTCTTATGGAGCAGAATGTCTGTGGTGTTCCATGTAGATATCATTGATATATCCATGAAGATACCATCGATATATCCATGTCGATACCAGCGATATATCCATGTCGATATCATTGATATATCCATGAAGATACCATCGATATATCCATGTAGATACCATCGATATATCCATGAAGATACCATCGATATATCCATGTCGATACCATCGATATATCCATGAAGATACCATCGATATATCCATGAAGATACCATCGATATATCCATGAAGATACCATCGATATATCCATGTAGATACCATTGATATATCCATGTAAATACCAGCGATATATCCATGTAGATACCATCAATATATCCATGAAGATACCATCGATATATCCATGTAGATACCATCCATATATCCATGTAGATACCATAAATATATCCATGTAGATACCATAAATATATCCATGTAGATACCATCGATATATCCATGTAGATACCATCGATATATCCATGTAGATATCATTGATTTATCCATGTAGATACCAGCAATATATCCATGTAGATACCATCGATATATCCATGTAGATATCATTGATTTATCCATGTAGATACCATCGATATATCCATGTAGATATCATTGATTTATCCATGTAGATACCATCGATATATCCATGTAGATATCATTGATTTATCCATGTAGATACCATCGATATATCCATGTAGATACCAGCGATATATCCATGTAGATACCAGCGATATATCCATGACGATACCAGCGATATATCCATGTAGATACCATTGATTTATCCATGTAGATACCAGCGATATAT